GTGTAGGATCCTCCAGGGATTTAGGGTTCAAAGGCTACGGCTTTCGCTTTAGGGGCCCGAAGGCTTTCTGTTTAGGGCTTTTAGGGTTTAGGGTTTTAGGGGTTTAGGGTTAGGGCTAGGGCTTTAGGGGTTTAGGGTTAGGGGTTCAGGGTTTAAGGTTGAGGGTTTTAGGGTTTAAGGTTTAGGGCTTAGGGTCTAGGGTGTAGGCATCACAGACTTTTCCTGTTCGGCGAGCCTCCTTGCATTCACACCCTTCGTCCTCAGCTCTCATCAGCCCCGGTGCACGAACAAAAGATCTGCTAAAGCAGCGCTTCGGAGCCAGAAGCCTAAACCACCCCCCCCTCCGCCTCCACCCAAACCCTGCACCGCTTATAAGCCTATACCCCTAAACCCTGAACCCCTGTACCTGCCCAGAAACCCCCTTTCCAATTATAGACCTATACCCCCTAAACCCTAAACCCTGAACCCCTGTACTGCCCTGACGCCCTAGAAGCCAGAACTCGGCCCTCGCGCTTGGGAGGTGCTGGAAGCGCCAGCTGCGCATGATCCTGGCCGAATCTGGGTAGCTCTCTTTTGTTCGGGTATTCAGTATTCCATATAGTATTTCTTTTAGCCACAAATATTCTGTTCTGCGTATTGAACCTATTATTATGGGCTTCAATTCTCTGGAGCTTTTTGGGGCTTGGGATTTAGCTCTTGTTGGCGAGTCTTTGCAGAAGGGCTTTTGTAACCTAGGCTAGATTTTGGTGCGCCTCCGGAGCCTTCTCTGACATGTTGGCGTGGGCTGAGCTAATGCCCCTAAACCCTAAACCCTAAAACCTTAAACCCTAAACCCTAAAACCCTCAAACCCTAAACCCTAAACCGATGAACCAGCCTCGAAAGAACAAGCTCCACAATAGATAAACTCCCGATCCTTCATGACGAAGACCTCTGAAACGGACTTTAGCGCCAAACCCTAAACCCCTAAACTCCTAAACCCCTTACTAAACCCCTAAACCCCTTAAACCCCTAAATCCCTAAACCCTAAACCCGGGTCTTCAGGTTTCAGCGTCTTTGTCAGCCCTGGCCTGCAGCCGACCTTCCAGGTCGACGCCAGTAAGGAAGGCCATGGCATCCGCCGAAGGTGATGGGGGTTTCCGACAACAGGGGACCCTGATATAGCGCCCTAACTAGTAGGATCCTTATTCTAAGGACCCCAAATTAAGGAACCCCCCTCTTTTCGGAAACCCCAGGGGGGTGTTGGAAGGAGAAGGTCTCTCGGGGAGATGAGGGCTGAAAGGGTTCGAGGTTTCGGCTTAACCGGTGTAGAAATGGTGAGGAAAATTTCGGGCTGGGGGCTGAGGTTGCAAGCATGGTACGTCTGTGTCAGTTGCAGAAGCGGCGACGTTGGCACTTCAGGATCTCAAGCAGTGTGTAGCTTCCAGCTTCAAAAATTCGCCGAGCGCTTGGTGCTGGGAGATTGTAGCAAACCCTGTTGGGCTGTTTGTGCGACAGCAGGCTCGTCGGCAAGCGGTATGAGGCAGGCTCGCTGATGCGAAGACCTCGATGGTATTTGGGGCTTCGGGTTTCGGGTGTAGGGCCTGCAGGGTTCAGACGTTTAGCCACCAAATAAATGGCAGGTCCAAACCCTAAACCCTAAACCCCTAAACCCTAAACCCCTAAACCCCTAGGACAGGCCTGCACTGTAACATGGCCTTCGAGTTGACTCCCCCCTTTCGATGCCCTCCCCTTCAGAAGCTACCATGACGCGATGCAAACTCGCATCGAAGCATGCAGTCTGAAGGCCTGGGGCTATAGGAATCTGGGCTGTTTTAGACTGGTCTATACTGCTTCTTACTCAGCGAGTCTATCCGATCCTTGCGTTATCCTTTGGGCTTTTTTTGGCGGGCGTTACCTCGACTCTGCGACCCGAGACGATTCAACAATTTTCCCAGGGTGGCACCCAATACTCTCGAGGCCGAGGCACGTGTTTCATTCAAGAGCTTCGACAGGATGTTGCGCACGGTGCTGGAAACGTCGATGTCCACCTGTGGATGCCAAGGCTTTGAGATGCAGCTCCGAATATCGTAACTCGACCCAGCCCCTAAGCCCCATAGATTCGACCCCCCCCCCTTTCCGTCTTGCGTTGAAAAGCTTGAGCCGAACATCCAATCTCGCCCTTAAAGCACGCTGAAGCCTTCTGTTACACCTTCTATCGCTGTCTTCTGTAGCTGGGAAGGGCTGCAGTTGTCTGCAGCTTTGGCACATCGGCCAACTCCAGCACGGCATCCAGAATGTGTCGGACCTGGCGGCTGGGGGATCGGGATGAAAGGATACGAAAGGCCTTTCTAAATCTCAGACGGTACACAACCTGACAAGCTCCAGGGATCTTCTTATCCGGTCACTTGCTCGCCTTCCAAAGTCTTGGACCGAGTCTCCGCTGCCTTCTGCGGACGGGGTTGAAGGGGGTTAGGGAAGCCTCTTGCGTGATCTATGATATGGTCAGTGGCAACCGCACGAGATTGAAACCTCTTCAAGGTGTGAAGCTTGCGGCTTCGGGCTCACCCAAATTGTAGCCACGGTGCCTTCCGCTGCTTTCGGCTCATCATCGTGCGTGAAGGATAGAACTCGACCTTGACCCGGCGAATCGGGTGCACCCCGCAACCGGCCTCACCCCGTAGACGCCCTACATCCATACTCTCACCAAGCATGGACCCCCAGGCCCAAGCCTAAGCCGGTTGGCTTTAAAGTCTCTGAAGTTTCGAGGCAAGATGAGGTCTTGGTAGCTCAATGCGGAGATTTGGAGCTTTCTTTGCATCCTTTCAGGTCAGGGTCCGGGCCCGGGCATTTGAGTCCAACCCCAAAGTCAACGGTGACAGAAAGTACTCATGTATCATGCAGTCTTCTTGATACCGAGTCATATCTGCTGCACCGTTCATATCCTGGTAATCAAGAAAGATCGTTCACAACTCTGTGTTCAGACTGCTCGAATTTGCGCTTTGCTGCCTTTAGTGCCTTAGTGCCCCGCTGGAGGGTGACTTCTGAAGTCCGGAGACTTCGTCCAACATAGTGTAGGGGCCTTAATAATTGGAATAGGGTTTCGCGGTACAGTATAAGAGATTGTTGCGGCCCCTGTAGTAGATGTTGCCACCTCTTGCCCTGAAAAAGCAAGTCTTGCTCATATCGAGGTCCATCATGCCGCTACTGCGCATCTAAGACTCCAAACCCAAGAGCCCTCTACCTTTAGGGCTTAGGGTTTAGGGGTTTAGGGTTTAGTTTCTTCGAGATGCCGGTGGATCTGCTGGATAGCCTGAGTTGGATGGAGAGCTCAGGTTCTCGACTTCATTGTTCGGGTGTTTTTTGGGTCTGGGGGTGATAGGCCCAGGGAAGCTATAAGGCTTTCGGCTTTAGGACAAGGGTTTTTGTGGCTTTGGGCATCAGTATCTCAGTCGCGCTGCCTGTGCTAGCAACATTGAAATTTGAAGCTTTTAAGACTCCACCTTCCAAACTCTTTCATTCAAAACAGCGTAGCAATTCTCCACAATCCTGGCCAGGCAAATGCCAAGATAGAGCACTGGTTGTCGGGGATAGGCTTTCTGAGTCATTGTGGGAACAGGCATCTCATCAGGGGAGACGCGCTATACATTATTTTGTTATAAAGAGTCTCCAGCTCAACCCCCTCCTGCAAACAACGTGTTTCCATTCTCGACCCTGGTGCCTTGTGCGCTCCCCACCCGGAACCCCCTTTATCTTGAAACCCTCATGGATGCAGTCCGAAGCCCGAGCGACCCATTGCCGCACGCTGCTCGGGCGTCAGAAAGCGCACGCCATTCAGGTGGCAAATGAGAGGCCTCCCAGCACGAACACAAGCGAGGGCTGGGAGGTTTGGAATTAGGATTGGACGAAGCAGCAGATTAGTTAGATGCTCATGTCGTCAACGTCCATGGCCTTCGTGTACCATCTGAAGCCGTGGAGATACAGTGGTACCTCAGAGGATCCGAAGCTTCACACATGGCAATATACAAACAAGCAGAGTCACGGTGATCTGCGCATATGAATATGCAGTTTATCTTTGAGCGTTGTCTATAGTATAAAGAGACGCCTGCGTGCGCGCGCGCACACACACACACATACGTGTACATGTATATCTACTAACACACACCTGCGCACATATACATGCATGCACACCGAAGTACATACCTACATAAGCTCATACATCTACGCATAAACAGATACGTGCACACACGTTCATGCATCCCTCCATCCATTGCATTACACTACATAAAGTACGTCACATGGCATTGCATTACGTTGCATGTGTTCCGTGCATCGGCCTATCTGACTAATCCTGCAACGTACTGTACTCTTGTGCATAGCCTGATGCATGACGTACACCCTCACGAAGCCACTCGCCCGCTGCCTTACAACGAAAGCCTGCAAACCTCGAAGCTAAGCTCAGAATGCCGAACTGGCGCTGCCGATTCGTTTAAACTGCACAAGCTCGCCGAGCAAAGCAATTGGGCTCAAGGGGCTGGACGCGAGACCAGCACCACTAGTATAGGGGCCTTAAAGATCAGAATAGGTTTCGGGGCATACTATACTACTGAAATTAGTAGTAAGGAACACCAAAGTAGAATGCAAACTAGTTATGAGGACTGCCTTTCAAATTGGTCCACCCCAAACCAAGACCCGTGTCATTAGTGCCCACCCTCAACACCAGCCTTCGAAGACCCCTGTCCAGGCAACCGTTTTCTACTTGATTAAGAACCACCCAGCTACAGTTTGATAAAAGTCCACATTCAACTTTACGTGTCCTTGATCCCTGGAAGCCCCCCGACCCCTGAAGCCCGTAATGCATCAAGCCTCTAGCGCCTAAGGCTTGGAAAGTGCAGGTGAAACCTCACCCCTCGAACCCTAAGCCAACATACGAAGCCAAAGCCTGAAGCTGCATTTATCGCCGAGGAAATTCTGGGGATCTCCGGCGTTCCGTACTTCGCATGGGCCTCCATGCCCTTCGCCATTATATCATTCCTCTGGCGGACCTCATGGGGCTGAGGTTTTGTCAAGCATCGGTTTGCGGCTTGCCTGAAGCCAACCCACCTCCTGAATCTTCAACTTGAAGCCCAGCTCCCCCACTGGTCTTGCATCAACCGGGGCTCCGACACATGTCTTCTGGTACTGTGCTGGAATCAAACAACCCTTTTGCGACGAAAGCAGGGAAACTCTCAAGCGAAAGCTGCTGCATGACTTTTCTCATCAAGCGACGCCAAAGGTCTCTTCAACGAAGTTTCCGGGATTGTAGGTCTCCTCTCTTTCGAGGCTTGGAAGACTTTCGGTTCAGGGCTTCTGGGCTTGGGTTTTGCCGCGTGTTGGGTTAGGCTTCCACCGTAGGATGCTCGGATCTCTGGAGTTCGGCAAAGGGGAGGCCGTGAAAAAGGACTAGGGGTGTTGTAGGGTTTAGGGCCTAGGTCCGGTAACCTTGAACCTTTTGGGGCTCATAAAATCCCACTAGAATTCAAAAGGTTCTACTTGCAGCCTCAAGTCATCTTCAGATCCCTCTCTTTGGCATTCCTCTGCTTCAGGTGTAGGGGCCAGGCTAGGCAGAATTGGACGGCATGGGCCGCGATTCCATATATATATATACACACACACATACACATGCACATGCACATGCACATGCACATGCACATACACATACACGTACACACACATACACATACACATATACATACACATACACATACATGCATTCATACATGCATGCATAGGTACATGCATAGATACACAGATACATTACATTACATTGCATTCCATTGCATTACATTACAATGCATTACATTCCATTACATTACAGTACAGGACAGTACACTACATTACATTACATTAATACATACCTGCATACTTACATACATACATACATACATACATGCATACATACATACATACATACATACATGCACACATGCACACACACGCATACATACATACATACATACATACATACATACATACATACATACATACATACATACATACATGCATAATTACATGCATACATGCATACATGCATACATGCATGCATGCATGCATTTATGCATACATACATACATACATACGTACATACATGCATATACTTGAATATAGAGAGCAGCCGATCTATCTATCTATCTATCTACTTTACTCTACTCTACTCTACTCTGCTCTGCTCTGCTCTACTCTACTCTACTCTACTCTGCTCTGCTCTGCTCTACTCTACTCTACTCTACTCTACTCTACTCAATATATATATATATACACACACACACACGCACAAACACAAAATTAGAATAACAGACGATATGCTATGTGTGCTGCTTTCCTTTCAGCAGGAACTCGGCCTCCGGGCCGAAGACCAAGGCGGTGTAGTGCTCCACGGATGTGATGTGGGTGCTGTCCTCGTAATGCAGAAGGGTTTAGGGTTTTAGGGATTAGGGTTTAGGGTTTAGGTTTAGGGGTTTAGGGATTAGGGGTCGAATTGACAGGATGAGCATGCAGTGCATGCTATGCCGATGCATGTACACATGTTTTTACACACCCCAACCCTCTCACTCTATCAATCCGGCGACAGAACCTCTAGAACACTCTGCTGTTTCCAGAATCTCCGGCAGGTTTACGCTCGGGGCCAGCAATCACTAGGGTCGACGACGCTCTTCGGCGTACTCGGAAGCGATGCTAGCAACAGGCGTGCGCAGCATGCTTGCCCCTGTGATGCTGTCGCATGCCATTCAATCGATGCTGCCTGCAATAAATCAGAGCCTGTATTGAGCTGAGCAGCGTACCAGAATATAATCCTGGAAAGGATCAAGCTGAGGATCGAGGTTCGTGCATTTCTTATCGAGTTAGGCCTTGGGAGGGTGTTGAGATGTCTTCCCCGGGGGAAAACGCGGTCTTGCGGTGGATGCATTTCTTTCTGGCTTGCCTTTGTCACGGCTAGAAACCAGAGCTTGTGCACTTCGAGCTGATCCCCCCGAAGCCTGGAGATTTCGGTGCCTTAATTACTATTGGCAAACCAGCCGGTACCTTCGTGTGCTTGCTTTTTCTTTCGGGTTGTTCGTCTTCTATTCCGTCAAGTTCGAGAGGCTACTCTAAATCGCTGCATGTAGAAGGGGCAAGGCACTACAAACACCCGACTCATGGCAGAACCGCCGCATGCTGCGATGTCACCGCACAGGCACATCCAATCAGAAGCCTTGTAAATCCTGAAACGAACAATCGACGCCCTCTTGAAACCATCTTGCAACACCTCCCAAGCCCTGACAAAACCAACACCATACACCCTAAACCCTAAACCCTAGACCCCAAACCCACGCTGTTCTTCAAAGCAGCCCTGCTAAAATATCTCCGCCAAGCATGTGATGACGAAACCGGCTCAAGTCTCCATCAACACACTTTAGGGGTTTAGGGGCCTTTAGGGTGTAGGGACTATAATATAATAAACTGCAAGATCAGGGTTTATATGAGCTCTAAGGGGCTTACGGGCCTTTAGGACATCCAGGAACCCTTCTGCAATCCACTAGAAGACTAAACATTGACCCATTCGAAGACAGCACTGAAAGAAGTGGAACTTCAGAGAAGTCATGGACCCGAGTTATAGATATAGACCCCACTAAGATGGTATCATTGTTGTCCCCCCTCCCCACCCAAACAAAAAGTTGGAAGGAATTAAAAAGAATAGTCGTATTCATACCAATATCAATATCAGCATTGGTATTAAACCCTAAGCAGGCTGAGGGCAAGGAGCGGCATCAGGCTGAGCCCTCTGTGCATCTCCGGCTTGACCCGAACACCGTGGTGCTGGTAGGCAATGCCTTCATAATGCAGGTTCACCTGGCTAGTTCTCTAAATTAGGGTCCGTTTTTGGGTCAAGAATATAGTAAACTGGGACCTGGGTTTCATCGGTTTTAGATGGAGCTAGGTCGTGGTGTACCGTTGGGGCTGGTGCGGTTTCGGGGTCCTAAGAGCCAAGCAGTGGAGGACTGGGGTGTGGGCAGGCCGTTGCGTCTTCACTTCTGAGCTTCGGGAATGCAGTTCCGCGACACTAACCGCGGCGCAGCTCCAAGATCCACGAATTTGGGGGGTAGTTTCTTGGGTTTCAGCCTTCCGGATTTTGAAGGTGATTAAAGGTGAGACGCGCATGCAAGGCATGCGAATGTCTTCGACTTTGTCCGTTCTTCGGGAATCGGGTCTACAGGCACCCAGGGTGGTTGGGCTTCAGGGATTCAAGGTTCGGGGGCTCTAAGTTTCAGATTCTTTGGGCATACTTCCGGGGAGGCTGTGAGCACGTTGAATTGAAGCCGGGGCAGCCCCCCTCAACGCTCCAAGCAGCAGCAAAAATGTAAGGCTGCCAGAAGAAAGCAGTCATGACGATGATGGCTGTAGTTATGGTGCAAGGCGAAAGCCCAAGGCTTCCCCTCCCGGAACCTGGCATAAATCCCCAAGCTCATGTCTGCACTCAGGCTACTCAGGCTACTCCTGCTGTGACTCAGCTTCCCCCTCCCCCCGGAGGCACCAGCAAAGGCAGGCCGACGTACTTCACGCCGGCTGCTGGGTCTGCAAGGACATCCAGCACACGCTCCAGATCTGAGTTGCAACCGTGGAATCTCAAAAGGCTTCGTCTTTAAACAGCCGACACCTGAATATTACCTCCTACAGAATCGACTCGGATTTGGTGCACTTTTGCGATGAACCCCAAACCACCCTGGGAGGAACTGCGGCTTTCACCTCTCGCTTTCTAGAGTGGGAACTAGAGACTAGAGGCCGCAACAGAGCAGTGCGCCGAAGAGGTGGAGCACTCTTCGTCTCTCCTAAATCCCAGCTTTGCTTTCCATCCCTTGCACGGCCTTGACCTTTCGGGGGGGGTCCCTAAACCCCTAAACCCGCTCCTACGCACAAGAAGCACGTCTTACCCTCACAGTGATTCTGTCTAGGTTCCCCCGTAGCCCCTTAATAATGAGGGTACCCTTTTTCCTACTATTTGGTTTTATAAGGGAACCCAAAAAGAAAAGGGCAAAAGGGTACTACTGGGGAACCGAGCTGTTGTTGCCTGCCTAGGGAAGCCTCAGAGATGCATTCGGCAGGCCCACAAAAAGCTCATCGGGCTGAGTCACTCGTTTACTCCCTTAGGGTTTAGGGTTTAGAGTTTAGGGTTTAGAGTTTGTTTACGTGTTCCCTGTTGGGGCTATATTAAATAATCACTTTTTAATCCTTTTTGGTGTTTATTATAACAAAAATGTTAAAATTTGTATCCAACAAGGACCCACTTTAGGGTTTAGGGTCCTTTAACTGCAGCAGCTGCACTGATGAGTTACCTGCTTGGAATCCTTTGCTCTTTTTGGGGTCTTAAGGGGGTTTCCGAAAATGGGGGGACCCTAATTTAAAGGGTTTAGGGTTTAGGGTACTAATATAGTACCGTAAGTAGTAGGATCCTTATTACAAGGACCCCAGAATAAGGTACCTTAATTTTCGGAAAGTCCCTTAAGGTTTAAGGATCTTGTTTCGGATGCCAAAACCCAGGGACTCCAAATGCTCGGACATGATATTTGGATAGCCGGCTTAGCCCGGAATGGGTTTGGGGCTTTCGGGTTTCGGCTTTTGGGGCTCTCCGACAGGCTTGTCAGGATTGAAGGCTTGAGAGTGTTAAGATGTCGGATTTCGTAAAGTTGTTATGTTGCCCAATGAGTGCAATTGCCTCCCTCTTCTTATACATTGCAAGCCATCCAGCCTCAGTATGTGCCTAGCAAGACGATATTGATGTCTAGCATCTTCCGAGCCGGCTCACGCCGTCATGCAGTTGATGCCCCTCCACTGCGACACTACCATGACGACCGCTTCAACACACACATAAACATGAATGCGCAGAGACTTTGGTAGTCAGGTGGTCACGACGGTCATAACAATGATGATGAAACGAGCACGCTCATCCTCACAACACGCATCTAGTATCTTTACCGTTTTCCTTCTTCAGCATCACCATCGTAGACACGGCCACCATCGTGAAGATTGTAATCACCAGCATGATGACACTGGTCAGCGCTCTGGACAGGCTATGGGTCTACATCATGATGTTTGCTCTGCCAAGGTGCCAAAATCGAAAGTGAATTCCAGGTCGTGCTGATGAATACCTCGAGAAGGAGAAACGGGCGAAAGAAGGTTCAAGGCTTTGTGTATCGGTGGCCCCGGGACCTGAAAAAGCTCACGATTTTCAGAATAACGAACTTCCAAGTCATGCTTGAGGGAGACAGTGTTTTGGCACGAAGCGTGAAGATCGGGTGGAGGGTGGCAGGAGTTTCGCTGCGAGCTGAAATAATCATGCCCTCGGGCCTTCGTGTGAATATGAGTCCTGACATGTCTGAAAGCTTCTTGCAAGAGCGGGGGGAGCTTCCACCGACAGGGCCAAAAAGGCGAAAGTAGTGAAGACCCCCCAAGTCTTTAGGGCAAAGGCTTTGACATGAAGCTGATCCCAATGTAATATAATGTAACATAATATAATATAATATAATACAATATAATATAATCATATAAGATAATATAGTATAATATAATATAATCCCTGCACAGACAGGTGGCAAACTAGAGGCGTCTCCACTTCTGCAAGCGCGGCTTTCACTGCGAACGCCTGCTGGCCGAAACGGTCAGCTGGTACTATCACTGCTACTACTGCTTCTCTGCTACTAATACTACCGCTACTACTGCCGCTGCTGCCGCTGCTACTACGACGACGACTGCTACTACTGCCGCTGCTGCTGCTACTACCACTTTCCACTGCGAGTATTAGCGCGAGGGGTTTAGGGCGGAAGGCTAGAGGAAAGGTAATGTAGGGGCCTTAATCTTATTGAAACTATAGTAGAATATACTCCAGACCCTATTCTAATTATTAAGGCCCCTATAGTATTTGCTGGGAGACGCGGCAGGCGCGTGGTCGCGGGACCTTGTTTTTTTGAGGTGCAGGTGTTAAAAAAGGCCTTCAACGCGTAACAGGCAGCCTCTAACTCGGAGTTTCCTGGATCTGTGTCTGCATCACAGCGAAGACTTGAGAGAAGGTTTGACCGGTTTTTTCTGGCCAAAAACCGACCATTCTGGGGTCCTCCTGCTGAGCACAGGAGCCCTAAGACCTTCGAACCCCAAATTTGTTTCAAGCGGTAGCTGGGAGACCTAAAACAAAGGTGCCTGACCATTGTGGCCCTCCAAGATCACAAGCTTCCTCGGCGCATGGACAGGGTTCAGTTTGATCCCCTGCACGAACAACAAATCGTGCACCAGAAATTGCCAGGATCTGGGGATTTTGGGGGCTGAAGCTTATCACAACAAGTTGAAACCGCCCAAGGAAGTTGTGACAAAGGTTCGTCCCAGAAGGCAGACGTCCTTCATCTTGCAGCCTCTTCAATGCCTCAGTTGCTATCGCCTGTCGCTTTTTGCACTTTCACATCAAACTATCTGGACACACACCCCAAACCGTAAAACTTTCTAAATACCTGCATCCAGCTGCAGATGCCCCTAATCCCAAAGTCAGCCTAGGCTTCTTGAAGCCCAAACCATGAGAAATACTCTTGGGTACCTTTGTTAACAACCGACCCAGACTTTCGAGCAGTCAGTTAGAGCTTCTGTTTCAAACGTTATAGTCCCGGTCGAGCGGTTGGCAGCCCTTTCCCCAATTTTATTCATAACGCTTAATCCTTTTCCAACCCCGCTGTTTTAACTGCCCTACTCCCTTTCGAACGGTATTCTCTTGGCTCTTTCTCGAATGTTGTCACTGTCATATCTGCTAATCCCGTTCGAGCGGTTTGTAGCTCTTCGCTCCTTCATTTTTTCCAAATGTCGAGCAGCTTGCGTGTCCGTCTCAAATGCTCTAATGCCTTTCGGACGGCGTGCTCCTCTTTCTTACATGCTCTTGCCTCTTTCGACGGTTGTGCTCCTTTTGGGCAGGTGCTCCAACCCCTTACGAACGGGTTGCTCCTCTTTCTCAACTGCCTGCTCTCGGTTTGCACCTCTTTTGCAACTGCTCTGGTCCCTTTCGAGGGGTTTGCACCTCCTCCTCGAATGCTCTAGTCCCGCGCGAGATTCTCTTTGCCCAAAACACGCGTCTCTTTCTCAAAAGCTCTAGCGCCTCCATGAGTTTGGGAATTAGTTTTCTTGATTCGCTCAAAACCCTTGTGTGCCGTTTGCTCTTCTTTCTCAAATGCCTCTGTGCCTTTCGAACCGTTTGCTCCTTTGTCTCAAGCGTCCCAATCCCCTTCGAGCTGAATGCTCCTCTGTAAGGTGTGCTCTGACCCCGTTTCTCACATGCTCTAGTCACTCTAAAGAGGCTTGAATGACTTTCTCAAGCAGTCTCGTCCCTTCGCGCAGTTTGCTGCTTGATCAAAAGGTGGGCTGCGGATCTTTCTCAAGGAGTGGTGGGCTGCCCTGCTCACAAGCTCTTATTTCACTGGAGCGCTTTGGTGCCAAGTTGCAAACACTCTAGTCTCACGTTGCCCCTCTTTCTAAACTGCAAAAACTTTATGCGGCCCTTTCATTCAGTTTTGGGGTTATTTTCATTCCTCAAAGTTGCCTGGAGTTTTTTGAGCGCGAAAAGTTTTCCTGCTTTTCTTGTGTCTAAATACTTCGGGCGGGCGCGCAGATCATTCTGAATCGCTCCAGTCTTTTCGAGCGTTGTCCTACTGATTTTTAAGTCCCTAGCGCCTTCGGAGCTGGTTGGTCTCAAACGCTCTTGAGCTCCTTTCGCGAGGTGTGCTTCCTTATTGAAATTGTTCTAGTTACTTGCAAGCGATTTCATCCTTTTTCTCAGGCACTCTGGTCCCTTTCGAGACCTTGGCTGCTCTCCGTTGCAAGCTCTATTCCCTTTCGGTGCTCTTTCTTCTCGCACATGCTCGAGTCTCTTTCGGAGGGCTTGCTGCAACCTGGAAATTCAAGCTGCCGCTTTGTACTCCGCGTAGTTTGCAGCTTTCTCCTCGGTGACCTTGCGGCCCAGGCTGAGGGTTCAGGGTTTAGGATCTCGGGGAGTGGCGTATACGCTAGCTCGCTACTACCACTGGCTGCAAAACGCTGATACGGGCGGTGGATCGCTCAATGCGTGTATGAAGCCGTCATATGACTTCGCCTGGGACTCGGCTTGCTTTGTCCACCCGTGAGCCCTGTCTCAATAAGTGTATTTATCCCCCAATAAAGAGCAAAGGGCCCCCCAGCCTTTCCGGCTTTCCAAGTCGTCTTCTTGACAACCTTGAAGCCTCGGGGGGCCGGTGCTTCGGTGAAGAGGCGCCCTTTTTTTGGGGTTCCAAGGCTCCTTGGGATGATGGGATGATGGGATATGGAGCTCGGTTCAGGGCCTAGGCTCCCAAGCCATCTGCCCGCACCGTATCACCTATCACCACAGCTCCAGCTGGCGCTTCCTTCAATGGATGAATGTTGTACCTTCTTCGCCCAGTTTGCCCCGAAGAAGGCAAGGGGTCGAGCCCTCCATGGAAGGGCCCAGCAGCCTCCACTTGGAGGATCATGGGACTTAGTAAGTAAGGTTATAAGTACCTTAATTGGACTTATAGTTACATATAACTATAGCTACCTTATTTGTAGCCCCAATTTTTCCAAGTCCCATGATCCTCTAAGCAGAAGTCATGTCCCCTCCGACGAGTCGTGGGATGACACAGTTTGACAGAATGACATCGTCTCAAGTGAGGCTCTGATTGGGCGTTTAGGCTTTTGGGGTTTAGGGGTTTCGGGTTTGAGGTTAAGGGTTTAGGGGTTAAGGGTTTAGGGGTTTAGGGTTTCGGGTTTGGGGTTAAGGGGTTAAGGGGTTTAGGGTTTAGGGGTTTAGGGTGGAACAGTGAACTGCTACCTCTGCGTGTCCTTTCTGCCAAGGGGCCATCACAAACGATGATCAGCCTGGGGCTCGCAAAGGAGGCGGGGGAGCTGGCTGATACCATTGAATGATGATCTCATATAAGTAGTTATAGCACAATATACCCCCCAAAACCTATTCTACTTATTCAGGCCCTTATATCTTATAAGGGCCTGAATAATATTGCGCTAGAACTATGGTAAGGAACCCCCAAGATAGTATTGGTAATTATTTGGGCCCCTACATTACGTTACCAGTCCTGTCTGACAGTCCTACGTAAACTCCGCACCAGCAAGTCGCAACCCAACCAAGTCGCAGCAAGACAACCCACTTGGCATGTGGACTTTGTGAGGTCTTGCTGCTCAGGTGGGGCATCCCAACTGCGAAAACAAGCATTTTTTGCGGAGTTTTGCGTCACGAATTTGCCCTGTTGGGCTTCGGCTTCGACCACAACCCCAGTTGTGAGATGCCCGCAACCTTAAACGGAGTGACTCGGTCACAAAACCCAAAAGCTTGAAAAGAATGCCTGGTTGCGAAGAACCCACAACCCTCAAAAGAGTGACTGCTACCACAAACAGTTCACCACAATCCTAAAAGGAGTGACGATGATGCAAGCCTGAACTACTCTCATCCTCGGCCCCAAAGGCCACAACCTCTTTAAAACTTAACTCTACAGCCTTCACCTTTAGAGGCCCCAAGTGCTAAGCTCTACACCCTTTTCCCAAAAAAACCCTCCCAAACTGAGAAAGCGCCCAGCGGCGGGCAGTCGGCAAGGCCTTGTACTCGAGTGAAGCTCGCGATCACGGCCTCCAGGAGCCTGAGCTACGTGGTATCTAAGAAGGTGTTCACGTAACAAAACAGATATGATATAATGGTTTAGAGTTCAGGCTTTAGGGTTTATAGTATATGATATAACAGATGAAATGGTGTACAACATGGCAAACAGGTACGTAGAAGATATAATGGGTTAAGAGTCAAAGGCTGAAGGGTTAGAACTGAACGGCCGGGCCTTTTGGGGTTTGGGGCTTTGGTGCGCGTACTCAAGGTCTGCATGCTGCTTCAAGCTTAGGATCTGTAGGCTTTCAATAGGGCAGTAAAGGTTCGGAGTTAGAGCTTCGGGCCCAGATTGGCGATGCAATTCCAGCCCCAGGGGTGAGCTCTAAACCCTAAACTCTTAAGGCTCTGAGTTTAGAGGCAAGGTTGGGGACACGACTTCGGTCGCGGGTCTCTCAAGCAGCCAGCATGCCTTCTTGAAACTTGAGGTGCCTGGTTACTGGAGCTACATCCTCTGTGAGGGTTGGTTCAGAGGATAGGAGTCTTCACATCTTTCTATGCGCTGAGATTTTTGCTGCAGTGTCGTCCTTGAGTCAAGGTGCTTAAGTGCTTAAGTGCTTTGGATCTCCATCCACCGCCTGTGGCCCACTACCTATCGTCTCCATTGTAGTTCCTTTTTGGGGTTACCCTTTAGGATCCTTAATATAGAATTGGATATACCAAAAAAGGGAACTACAATGGAGACTATAGGTAGCTTTCAGAAATTCATGCCCAATACGAAGCTTAGGAGTTCAGAGCCAAGGCTTTCGGGCTAAAAAGGCGCGCGAGTTTCAGAACCTACAAGGACCGCCTTCTCTCGGCTTCAAGGGGAGCTGATGGGTCGGGCTTTCCAGGGTTTAGGGGTTTAGGGGTTTAGGGTTTAGGGTTCAGGGTTTAGGGGTTTAGGGTTTGACGAGGAACCTAGAAGCACACCAGCTCTCCACACTACGCTCGACGAAGCTGTACTGCTATACATCGGACTACTGTAGAAGTTATGATCTCTGCTGCATTGCTTCGGGTTTCAGCCTCCGCTTCGACCTGGCGCTGGGAAATTAGGGTTCAGGGTTTAGGGGTTTAGGGGTTTGGGGGTTTAGGGACCCGACTGCACCAAGGGACATCGTTGAAGGATGACTTGGAATGGGGCTGGTCGTGATGACCTTAATGGAAGAGACTGCTGCTGCACGGGTTGGGGTCGAGGGCTTTCAAGGATCAAGCATTCTTTGGTCAAAGTGCTTGTATCAGTTACTTAAGCCTTTGGATCTCGCTGAAGATCTCCGGTTTGGGATGCTCAGGCGTTCACATCCATCTTGTGCATGTTGTGCTTCATGTCTGGGAGTGCAGAAGCACACGCCTATAATTTCAGAGTTGATCGCTCGGGAGTGAGAAATGATTGAATGACCTTCGGCTTCCCACCCATCCACCCCACCCACCAGCGGATTCCGCACGAAGTTGGCGGGAAAGAAGGCCTACAACCCCCGGCCGCACCTCGACGGATCCACAGAAGGTTGGGGCTAGGGTGTAGGGGATTCCATTTATCGGTCCAGGGTTCTGGATTTTTGCAGAAAGTGAGGCCCGGCGTCACGAGCCAGCTAGCAGGGCACCAGACTCACCGTGCATCTATACTCTATAGATGTGGGAGTTTCCGAAAAATAAGGGGTACCCTCTTTTGGGGTCCTTATAATAAGGATCCTACTACTTAAGGTACTATATTAGGGTCCCCTATTTTGGGAAACCCCCATGTGTCAACGCTGAAGAAACGGCTTGGTCTGCAGGTCGGTGGGTTTGGAGGTGCTTGAAAAATAGTCTTGCGGGGCTCAGGGATCGGGTGTTCGGGCGAAGAAACGCCTGGGGCCGCTCCGCTACAGCTTTTGGAGCAGATTGTGAGTCGTCGAGCGATTACAATGATTGCAACTTTTCGCGCGGACGCTCTCGACCACAACCAAGTCGCCACGCTCAGCCTCGGCGAAGTAGCTTTGACCTGCGAGCTATTGAATATAAGGCAACCTTTGCGAGGGACCACCGGGGCTTCTTCATGCAGCCTTAAACCACCAAACTCACAATCCCCTGTCTAACTTCCCTTCGCGAAGGGCCTCACCAACCTGACGCACTTCGGCGACGAAGGGCGGCTTCTTCTCCTTGGCTTCAGCTTACAGCCTAGGGGGGGGTCTAAGGCTTCAGGTTTAGGATCAGGGTTTAGGGTTTAGGGTTTCCCTAAACCCTAAGCCCAGAGATGTCCTTTGGTGGGTTTTTAGCTCAGGACTCACAAGGGAAGAACGCCTAAAGCCTGAGCTGAGAGCTGCAGGAGCTTGGATAATTCCAGGGGGCAATATGGGGTAGTTCTCAAAATTAGGGTCCCTTTTAGTGTCTTGTTTATAAGGGTGCCGTGCCATCCCAAAAAAGGGCCTAATTTAGAGAACTGCCCATATGATATATGAGGACGGTTGTCTGGTTGCTTTTGGGTGTAGGCTTGCGCTTTACACTGTTGAGCTCATGCTGCGAATGCACACGAGTCTCGACCCATTGAGCAGGAAAGACCTTAGTCCGAGTATGGAGCAGCAGCAATCACAGCAAACGCAGCAGCAGCAACACTAGCATTAGCACAAATCGCAGTATGATGCAGTATGCTTATTGCATGTCAATGACCTGGTGGCAGTACTTTGCAGAGATGGTTGTAGCATCATCAGAAGCAAGCAGCAGTAATGACAGTGGGAGCGGTCATGCTGGCGATTGTGGTGGTGGGTGGTAGCGGTAGGAGAGGTAGTCGAACTGGCAGAAGTAGCAGCAACGACTGTAGTGGCGGTGGTAGCCGCGTTCGCAATGGCCGCAGTTGCGGTTTTTCGCAGAAGAGGAAGTATTAATCATAGTCTTGCAGTTGTTGTCGTAGCAGAAGCCGAAGAAGCAGTAGTCGTCGTCGTCGTCGTCGTCGTCCTCGTCGTCGTAGTATGGTAGCAGCAGCAACAGCAGTAGTAGT